TGGAAATCTCTTTTTTCTTTTTTTACCCAATGGCTGGAATATTTTCTTTTTAGTAGGTAAAACTTTCATATGTTTCATATGTCACAAACCCGACAAAGACTATTGTTCTAATACATCTTTGTTTTACTTTATTCAATGCGTCAAAGGAAGCTCACCTTCCTTCCGGTCTATTTAAGAATTTAATTGACGTATTGAATTGGGTGACTTTTGGTGCGGTTTTGCGGTAATTTTTTCTTCAAAATACGGTATTGCGGTTTTAAGAGTCCAAACGTACGGTGGCCGATAGGAACAAAACAGAATCACAAAACCCAAAACAGTAACTCAAAACTCAAAACAGAATCACAAAACCCAAAACAGAATCACAAAACTCAAAACAGAATCACAAAACTCAAAACAGAATCACTAAACCCAAAACAGAATCACAAAACTCAAAACAGAATCGCAAACCCAACTAATACAAGTAATACAAGAGAACGCCTGTTGTATCATTTACGTAAACGTTTAATGAACAAAAACGAGTGGAATGGTCGTATGTCTATCCTACCCCTATCATCGACGCACCTTGATTTGGAAACACTGAAATAAAAATATTATTTCTATTTAAAAGTGGGATGTTAGTCTTGAGAACGGCAACTTTTTTACCATTTGTAACTGCGGTTTGGGTATTTGGGTAAATTTCGATGCGGTATTGCGGTTTAATTTTCGGAGACCTCTCACGCCCCCTCTAAATATTATTGACCAAACTATTATCTGTTATCGTTATCTGTATGTGATTAATTGATGACAACTCAGCCCAGATGTATTGTATGTCGAAGACAAAATATACTCCAAAGGCGCCGTAGACAAACTTTGCCCCTGGCAAAAACTGAACAAAATCGACTAAATAAGCGAAAATTAAATGTGTTGATCTTGTTAATCACATGTGGTTAAGCCACTAAAAGGATCGAACAGAGCATACATTGGGGCAGGCTACCTTAGCCTACCCCCCCTGGGGTTTCATGTTCCATTAACTGCATTTACCATCTGGTAAATGTCTTATTAACGTAAATGATATAACAGGCGTTCTCTAGTATTACTTTATTTATTACTGACCTGGATCATAAACTCTGACGGAAAACAGTTGACTCCTGTGAGGCTGTCTCCTGTTCACAATTGACTCGGTTCTGTGTTGAAGGTTTTCAAGGTCGACCCTGTTGTCGACCATGAAGGGGTTGACTACGTTGGGCTGTCTCTGGGATTCGATGGGTACATAGTACACCCAAATACTAGTACATAGGTATGACATTAAATTCTAAACATTCCGTCATGCACAACGAGTAGGACGAGTAGTAATTTTTAGACCACATCATCTTCATAGATTATCGTTCAGCCTTTTCGTGTAAAAACCTTCGTAACACACAAAAAGACATTTGTAATATGATAATCACGAAAATTGAGCTACCAGTATTATTTCATAACCCACTCGCGTGCGTGTAAATTACACATGCTGACAATGAAATCTTTTAGAATTTATACAGTTGCCATGCTTTAAAAAAGGAGGCAGGTCACCGCGACAATTTTTTCACCGATTACCGCGACATTAAATTTAAATTTATCGCATACCGCTTGGACTCTGAAAACAGCAATACCGTACTTTCAAATAAAAATTACCGCAAAACCGCACCAAAAGTAACCCAATTCAATAGGTCAATTAAATTGTTAAATAGACTAGAAAGTAGTCGAGGTTCCTTTGACGCGTTGAATAAAGTAAAACAAAGATGTATTGCAACAATAGTCTTTGTCGGTTTGTCGGGTTTGTGACATATACTGAACATATGAAAGTTTCACCTACTGAAAAAAAAATTAGCCATCGGGGAAAAAAAAAGATTTCCACCTTCCATGTACAAAAAAAGTCTTGCATCTCTTAAATTCTAACTTTTGATTGGCGCCCCCCCTCCATCATTTTTTTCTAATGGTGCATCCCTAATATAACACACTCGTAACATGAACTTGGGATGCCTGTGTTGTATTTTTCTAATGGTGCATCCCTAATATAACACACTCGTAACATGAACATCTGCTATTTAACGCCCCAAAGAACGGGTTACATAACCCTTGATTGTTGCAGCGCATCAGCCGGCAGCAGACCGTATTCTTGAGCGATTTGAGTTTTTTCGTTCAGGTTCGATGGTTCAATCAATCTGTGACTGCTGCGCTGTGCAGTCAGCGGTTTGCTTAAGCAACTGCTTAGCTGCCGCGCCTGTTTTTCTATTGGGAGCAACCCACCATTTTGTTTGACTCTTACGTAAGATCTGTGTGGAAATCGTAGTTCATCGGATGTTTGCTGTGTTTTTGGCCTAAACGGTAAGAACAGTTCAAGAAGTATTGTACGGAACGTTTTTCGGTTTAGTTTTTTTATTCTAGGTTTCAAGATTAGTTATAGCGAGTATTCTTTTGTCACACAGATTGTTATCTCGGGAATCAGGGGGCGCTTTCCATTTAGTCAAAATTTCCGGAATTTCCGGTTCGGCGGTAAATGGAACACGTTTCGTCGGTTCGTCCCACTGGAAAATTCCCAGAAAAAGTGGAAAATCTAAAAAGGTGGTCCCGTTTTCCCGGTTGGAATTTCCGAACGGAATGTCGTGTTCCATTGACGTTTCTTGTAGTTTGTACCAGTTCCAGGTCCACGGTCGGGCACCCGGCTACGTACCGGGGTTTACGACCAAATGGAACAACTTTTTACCGATCGGAAATTCCACTTTTGCCACCACCGAAAATTCCGGGCTTTTTTCGTAAATGGAAAGCGCCCAGGATTGTAAGTTACATAAGTGAACGCCATGTGCTGTACATCTACCTGACCTGTGAATAAACAAATTTTGGCCTTTACGTTATTTGTTCGCAACTCATCTCATCATATGTACGATGATCGTTCGATGAAGAAAGAACCTATCAGCACTGCTGTTGTTTTGCAATTTCGTGAATTATGCATAAATATGAAAATGAATTACAAAATCGTATTGAAACCTTAGCGAGTTATCTGAATGCAAGCATATTTGTCATCGTGATCGGTTCATTTTTTATATTACGCTCTGGGTGTTTCATAATTCCAACAAGTCTTTAAATAAAAAAGAATTCGTATGTTCAACTGTTCTACAAACTGTCTTTGTCTTATTCGCATCGCAACTAACGGCAGCACTTCCCTTCTCAATGAGAACTTCTAGTAATTACATGTAAATTCAGATTTGTTCAATCACTTGGTGGAACACTGATTTTTCGAACCACCTTGGGAAAAGCAAATTGGATCGAATTATCGGGAGGTCAGTGCCGTAGCCAGACCAAACGGCCAACCGAGGCAGGCGGGAGTTGCCAGGGGGGTTCGGGGGCATGCCCCCCCCGAGAAATTTTGAACTTTAGTCTCTCGGAAATGCGATTTGCAGCGTTTTCTGGGCCTTCGGTACTTTTTTTTTTTTCGAGTTAATTTAAGTGGAATTTAAAAAGCAATAATCAGAAACAAGCTACATAATCTGGGTGACCGTTAACCTCGCCAATGGTTTTGATCAGTATTTGTTCAAAAAAAATTTGAGTTAACGTACCTAGCCCCTTGAGATCGATGATATGGTAATTTTTTCATAGTATATTGACTGAATTGCTGAATTCTTTGTAATATCATGCGTAATATCATGCGTTAAAAATATCCGATGATCGCTTATGTAAAATAAAAATGATCGGCGAAATTCGTCAAAATTTTACCGAGGCGAGTGCCTCGGTTGGCCTCATATTAGCTACGGCGCTGGAGGTAATATTTAATTATCAGGTGACGGAAAGTTAAGTTTGGTTCGAATTATCGAAAACCGAGGGTTCAAGAATAGGGAAGGGGGTGTCTGTACAGAGGCTACCAATTATAAGTCAATCAGACTTAATATTGACTTTCTGTCAACTTACCATCCAAAGAATCAGTTTCAAGAAAGTAATTCGGGTATGTTTTCCTCTTTTTTATTGTGATACTCAGCCTTTGCAGGGTTTTTTAAGACAGTTTTCCGAAGTCGAGACGATCGCTACATGATGAAAGGTTAGTCGTACATTAGTAGCAAAGAAATCTAGCAGAAAGTGTGATCACAGCTTTTGCTGTTTTTATTAAATGTATTGCCTTTTGATTTTCTAGTTTCCGTCGTAGTCGTCGCCGTTGCTTAAGCTTCTAGTAGAGCCACCACGCAAAACAATCCTTGATACGGCAAGTGACGATTTCGTTGAGGAAACCAACGATTTGATGGAAAATGTGCGACGAAAGGTACGTCCGCACCAATACCCATGTCAGTCAGACGCTCAATACTAGAACCATGCACTTACAGTCCTAAAGCAATCGGAGTCCTTATGGTTTTAAATACTGAATCAGTTATGTTTATATTTCAGTTTAATTCACCGGCCCTGTTATTAATTTACAGACAGTCAAATTAACTTTGAATATCGATAAATCATTTTCGAGAGAAATACTATGATAATTGTGGGCGGTTGTGCTCCAGGGCACGCTATCGCTGTGTAACTTGTAAAAAATTGCTTGACAGTGGCAAAACGCCATACAAACCGAATGAGCAATAATAGGGTGTTTTCATTAATCCTGAACGAAAATTTCGCTGTTCCTTATTCCAGTCAAAATGAGAAAAATTATTGTTCCAAAGGGTATTATTGACCACCTGATTATTCCATTATTCTAAAGGACAAGATTTCTGTGATTATTTATCTTCAGTCACTGAAAAAGAATTACTTTACACAGAAATTTTTGTACTTCATACTACTTCAAGAAAACCGTTGACGTTTGACCATTTTCTAATCCCCTATACTGCTCCCTCCCCCTCCCTATGTGTCGTTAATGATGTATATTTTGCAAACCCTCCATTCTTACTTTGGGTTATAAAAAAGCCGCAAACCTTTTGACAGCCGCTTTGTTTGTGTGACTCAACATCTAGGATATAAACAAGTTCTGATGTGATTCATTTTGTTTTTGAAATCAAGTAAAAAGTAACTATAAATGCGAGGTTAAACGGAGTGATTCTCACTTAGCCGAAGCTTATTTTTATGTAAGAGATGAATGCATTTAATCGCTTTATTTTGAGTCATTTAAGGCAATGGACTACAAAAGCTTAACGTTCTACTCTTTTATCAGCCGGTTTGCGCCATTTTTAATTATAGTTTTCCTCCGTACTGAAACATGGCGCGCCATTTCTTCGGGCCAAATCTAATTATTAGAATTATTAGAAATAACTACAGTCAAACCTATATCTTTGGGAATGGCTTACTGACCGCTTATCACACTTAAAATTAAAGTGTAACATTACTCTAAAAAAAAGTGTAAAATCTTTGCCAGCCCCGGCAGCCTTTTTTTTCTGTGTATTATTACACATTTTATAATAGTGTAATTTAACACACAACTAGAGGTTATGTTTACACACCAATCGGTGTAATGTGAGTGGTTTACACTTTGGTCAAGTGTAAAATTGCAGTTCTTATAAGTGTAATAAAATACTAATAGAACAGTAATATTACACCGAATGATAGTGTAGTAGCTTTGCCAGCCCCGGCAGCCTTTTTTTTCTGTGTATTATTACACATTTTATAATAGTGTAATTTAACACACAACTAGAGGTTATATTTACACACCAATCAGTGTAATGTGAGTGGTTTACACTTTGGTCAAGTGTAAAATTGCAGTTCTTATAAGTGTAATAAAATACTAATAGAACAGTAATATTACACCAAATGATAGTGTAGTAGCTTTGCCAGCCCCGGCAGCCTTTTTTTTGTGTGTATTATTACACATTGTCCAATAGTGTAATTTGACACGCAACCAGAAGGTTCATTTACACACCAAACAGTGTAACTGTGAATGGTTTACACCTTGGTCAAGTGTAAAATTGCACTTCCCATAGGGGTAATAAAACATTAACAGAAAAGTAATATTACATCAATTTATAGTATTAGGCAAAAAAATTACGCATTTGAAAAATATAGGAAATCACATTTTTAATCACTGAATAAGCAGCTAGACTTCTAACAATAAGTAAAAATGAAAGGTCAAGTGTGCAAGCCATGGTGTGTGACTGTCTAACTGCTTAGGAGTGATGCGTACTGTCCTATCACAAATCAGTGCTTGGGGCAGAGCCCGAGGAGGTTCAAGGTTTGAGCTGCAAGGTGGTACCCGGGAAAGATAGTTAGCAGGAAGTCTTCCTCTCCAATTATTAGTATTTTTACAGTCATGGTGTAATGCCTTTCCCACAGTAAAAATGGATGGCGGTGCATCTTTTTTGCTTCTTCTAGATATTGTCCTCTTGTGGCTGCAACCTGCGTGACAAATGAAATTGAAAAAAAAAACAAGACTTGTTTTAGTCGATATTAAAGTGTGAATCTTAATTTATTGTATCGGTCATGAGGGTTGAAAATAGGACTGAGTGTTTGGGAGTTCCTTCTAATTGAACTAACACAATAATGCTCTCTTGAACAACATGGTTAAGGCAAACTACTTAAATCAAATTTCATTCACAAAATAATTACATATTAGGTTTAAGATGTAAAAAGGTTTTTTCTCTAGAGTCTTAACAATCAAGTACATTTTTCCTCCTCTACAAAACAAAACACAGCTTCAGATATTGAATTCAGATATCAAATCACAAATTAAAATAACTCAAAACATATGTGTTATTCCAATCCATGACCCCCAGTAACACTACAGGCGGGCCAAACCACCTGACTGAGTCATTAGTCAAAGGCGGGCATGAAAATTACCACCTTGCATAACTGCCTAGCCGGTGGACCAGAGCCATGATGAAAACAAAACACACTATTAGACTTTATAACTTGGTATGGAAACAAAAGTTTGACTGGTATACAATTCAGATATCCGATTACAAAATTACTCAAAAGACATGTTTTATTCCAATCCATGACCCCCAGTAACAGGCGGGCAAAACCACCTGACTGAGTCGTTAGTCAAAGGTGGGCATAACCATCTTACATAACTGCCTGGCCGGAGGACCAGGGCCATGATGAAAACAAAACACACTATAAGACTTTATAACTTAGTATCGAAACAAAAGCTTCACTGGTATACAATTCAGATATCCGATCACAAAATTACTCAAAAATCATGTTTTATTCCAATCCATAACCCCCAGTAACAGGCGGGCAAAACCACCTGACTGAGTCGTTAGTCAAAGGCGGGCATAACCACCTTACATAACTGCCTGGCCGGAGGACCAGGGCCATGATGAAAACAAAACACAGTTATACAACTTTATAACTTGGTATCGAAACGAAAGCTTCACTGGTATACAATTCAGATATCCGATCACAAAATTACTCAAAAAACATGTTTTATTCCAATCCATGACCCCCAGTAACAGGCGGGCAAAACCACCTGACTGAGTCGTTAGTCAAAGGTGGGCATAACCATCTTACATAACTGCCTGGCCGGAGGACCAGGGCCATGATGAAAACAAAACACACTATAAGACTTTATAACTTAGTATCGAAACAAAAGCTTCACTGGTATACAATTCAGATATCCGATCACAAATTTACTCAAAAAACATGTTTTATTCCAATCCATGACCCCCAGTAACAGGCGGGCAAAACCACCTGACTGAGTTGTTAGTCAAAGGTGGGCATAACCACCTTACATAACTGCCTGGCCGGAGGACCAGGGCCATGATGAAAACAAAACACACTACAAGATTTTATAAATTGGTATCAAAACGAAAGCTTCACTATACAATATTATTCACATATCCGATCACAAAATTGCTCAAAAAACATGTTTTAGTCCAATCCATGACCCCCAGTAACAGGCGGGCAAAACCACCTGACTGAGTCGTTAGTCAAAGGCGGGCATAACCACCTTACATAACTGCCTGGCCGGTGGACCAGGGCCAGGATGAAAACAAAACACAGCTATACGACTTTATAACTTGGTATTGAAACGAAAGCTTCAGATTCAATTCAGTTATCTGATCACAAAATTACTCGAAAAACACGTTTTATTCCAATCCATGAGTCCCCTGGAAACAAGCGGGCAAAACCACCTGACTGTGTCGTTAGTCAAAGGAGGGCATGACCACCTCACATAACCACCTGGCCGGTGGACCAGGGCCATGATGAAAACAAAACACAGGTAAAGTAATGAAAATGATATTAAGCCTTTTTAAGCCTCGTGCAATTACAGGTTTTTGTCTGCAAAAACACATATAAACATTAGGCAAGCTTAATATATTTTTCTGGTTTGGATTTATCTCTATTCTACATATCAAATACAAGTCGATGTACAGGTCCGGTACGAATAGCCACTAGGTATAATGTAAGAAAAATAAATAAAGATAACTTACATTATATCAACATTTGGGATCAAAAGGTGCAAAATTCTGTGTTTTATGAAGCATTTCTACCGATCATTTGAATAGTAAATGTATGGAATCAAATGTCGCGCGTGACATCACGATCCCCCGAACAGTTCGGGTGGTACGCTTGTAATACACGTCTTTTGTTTGCAAAGAGCAAAACCACTCGAATTAAAAGTAATTAAATTCGCTATAAATATTTTAAGCTTCAATTTGAGTCTGCAAAAACAACAAGGTGATACAATGCAGTCTTCGCTGTTGACGTCATGTCACGCGACCTTTTGGCGGTTAAAAGCAAACGAACAACCAACGGCAATATTCACAAAACATTTCAGTCAGCTTATATCCAGTATTTATATTTCTAATGTTAGTCGTATATATCTGTCTACTCTCAGGCTATTCTCCTAACAAGCCTAAACAAAAATTTGAGGCGAAATAGCGAGGTTATCTTAATTTCGAGATTTCAAAGCTAAACACCACACAATGCGCTTTTGATATCGCATCGCGCTCTCCCACAGTAGGAAAACCGCTCAAGGTGTTGCAGTACGGTAAAACAATACTTCAAAAGCCTCAAGAAATCTAGGGCCAGACTATAGTTTTCACATAAAACTCAGAAATTACGGAAAGTATACTCACCTCGAAATGCGAAATGCGCCGTCGTAATCTTTGAACATGTTTGAATGCATGGTTTTTGCTCTCTTCTTAGCAGTCATTTGGAGCCTCCATCATCCTTTGCTCTAACAATCGGCCCTACATCCTTGTTAACTTGAAATCAATGAAGACTTTGAGTTAAAATCTTCAAATTTACGGCGCTTAATTTTAGTACAACCTTCGTGGAGGACGGTTGGAACAAAAGATGAATACAAACGGTATTCAAGTGTCTTTATCGGCAACATCGTCGATCCTGATTGCACGAAAATTCGCGCCCTGTCACTTAAGCTCCTGGTGACTGACTATACGTAATCTTTGGATCTGCTGCGGCTTTTGACTCAGTCACGTAATTTATGTTGCTGTAAATTTCCTCTTCGAGAACACGCGGAAAAGGAACATGGTCTGAATTAAATCGATAGTACGAAGACAATGGACAATGAAGAAAAAAAAAAAAAGAAAAGAAGAAGAAGAAAGAAACATAGTGTTACATTTCTCAGGAAAGATAGAAACCCGCACAAATGACAGTCCTGTCAATGGAGTGATGCATCGTTAGCGGTTTAGGTCATTTCATTAATTTAGCTAAAACACCTTTCAATTTACACATGTATACAAATGCAGTTGCGTGAATTTCGTACGATATATCTGAAATGAGACCTTAGACTGCAGCTGAAGTATATACCTGCTACATGTACAACTAGCGGCTCAGATAACTTATTCACGCGATGAAGATTTTCTTGCTTCGATATTTTTTTTAAAAAAAGAGAGTGGGTGTTTTATTCTATAAACGTATAAGTATGCACATGTGAGTGCATAATTACCTCCGCTGTGGTATACATTTACTCTGTAAGTAAATGTTAAAAATACCTATAGTTTCAGCCTAAACGTGATGTAAAAATACTCAAAATAACGAGTATCACTACACCATAATTTCTGTGTAGTGTTTTACACCATAAAAAGTGTAACTTTATAATTTTTCTTTTCTAACAATACACTTCAATTTTAACACTTTTAGTTGGTGTTAAAGTACCCGAAAAAACGAGTAACACAACACTACAAATTGTGTAATATTACTCTGTGTTGTTAGTATACTCTAACACCGATAGGTGTGTTTAATTCTATAAGTTTATTAGTGTAAAATTACCTTTACTATGGTATACATTTACGCTGTAAAAACGGGTAAAATGTACACCGTACCCTGCGTGTAATGTTACAATAGAAAAAACTGTAAAAGTATACCTTTAACTGTGTAATATTATCATGTTAAGAGTACTAGCTCTTTTATACTAAAGTTTGCGTAAAATTACCCGACGTAAAGCGTAACACAACACTGAAAATTCTGTGTAACGCTTTACTCGTTAAAAAGTGTAATATTACAAATTTTCCTTTGTAACATTACACTTTAATTTTAAGTGTGTATAATACAGATTGACTCTTCAGCTGACTCTTTCATACAAGTTTGCCAAACCTATCTATGACCGGAGTTTATCAAGAAAATCAAGATGGTGACAAAGCGAAATATCCACAACACGGCAACTGTTGAAGGGGTACACAAACTGTTTCACCTTTTTTTGTGCCAAAGTGACCGTTGAACAGGTGGAGACAATAAAAAATAACTCGTTGGGACCATGAAAAAGGTGACCGCTTCAGAATATAAGGCCCGGTTCAGACGCCGCTCCACTCATGTGCCGAACCTAACTGATGAATTAAGTACGGCAAAAGATCAGAGCGGCGTCTGAATCAATTTGGTACGGCACTTTTAGTTTGGTGCGGCAAAAGCGTTAAGTTCGAAAGAGTCTGTCGAACTTTTGTCGAATTTAACTTAGGCTCGACACACGGTACGCCGTCTGAATCAGATGTCGCGCCAGTGTCGCTCCAAAGTCAAACTTATTCAGTTAGGTTCGGCACATGAAAAGTACGGCGTCTGAACCAGGCTACAGGTCAGCTCTATAGTAATTCCGGAACTTACGAAAGTGACCGCTTAATGCAGGTCCACTCAAATTAATACAGGTTAGATTGTATGTTATGAGCTGGACAAGGAAAGTAATGTTACCGCTTGCTTACTAGCGGTGAAAGATTTCACTTAAAGATTCTAAAATAGATTTATGTACTTTTAACAAATCACCTTATTCAAATGTACGCTTCATCTAAGAAGAAAATTATGACATATCAGTTTTTTAATATGGATAATATATAATCAACAATCTTACCATTTTTACCTACGCTAATAGGGAGGTTACGCAACGACGACGAGGGCGGCTACGAAAAGATCACTTAAAAAGTGAATTTGCACTCCCTCAGACTTAACCTCGTTAAATCCGTCAAATGTTGGCAAATTTTTTTGGAGTTGAATTATAAAGTGAGGACTGGTTCAAAGTTCAGGAAAAGAAAAAGAAAGTTGTCTTCTGTTTCTGTCCTCGACAAAACATGAAATTAGTGCGTAGTTTCACGTTGGAGTCGTGCAACGACGGCAGAGAAACGTACAAAACAGAATGATGGACGTGCAAAGTTGTTGTTTTGCTTGTCCAAACCTATTTCGTTTTTGCCGTTCTCCTTGCCGTCGCCGCCGTCGTTGCGTGAACTCCCTAATAAAAAAGTGTGTTCACAGCTCAGTCGCTGAGTTGTCTGAGTTGAGATCTAGAATAGACGGGCAATATTTTTATAGTCTATACATCTATGTGGTCGAGTGAGCTAGTGATTAACTAAAGGCTATTGTATAAGCAGTTCTCGCTGCTCTTTCGAGCTCTTTGAGCAATATTAAAACCTTTCATGCTCCGGATGAAAAGCTGGAAAACAAGTCTACGTTTAATCTAACCACCCGTCCGAGTCATGATCTGTAGTCGTTTTAAACTAAAGCACACTTCCATTAACCTCCCTAAATACTGAGCCATACGCGTTACAAAGCTTGTTTAAATTTAATCATGACAACTCAAGAACGGCTATGCTTATTTAAATCTTTTACTTGTTTCATTGACGAAAAATGTTCAGGAACCTATTTAGCTTCTTTTCCCAAATCGTCTATCCCCGTTTCACTGTTTCGCTTTATAAGTAACATACTCTGGATATTTCAGTCGCTTCAATTGTGTCAATGAGGCAGTGAACTGTCTTTTTGAGCTTTTAAACACACTCTATTTCCTGATCCCGGGAATAATAAATTTTTAGACCAGCAGTGACTTTTAATTCTTCTGCAAAACCTTGTAGCTGTAATTGATGGCATACTTTATTCTGCCTTCCAGAATGAAAGAATAAAATTGCTTATAGATAATTGCAGCTTAGTTTCTGATATTTGTTCAACATTCACTTTTTGTTTTTTCATTTATTTGTGAGCTCTTTGTTGCAGTGTTTTAACGGCTTGTGCTGAAGCCGCAAGGTATCGTTGTAACGAAGTCACTAATGATTAATTTCAAGATTTTCAGTTAGCTGTTATATAACTTTAGAGCTCACTGTTACGTAAGAGTTGAAATTAAGAAAAAGCCAAGTTTGGTTTAGCCTGCGAACCGCAGACGCATTTCCGGGACCGGAAATGCGTCTGTGGTTCGCAGGCTAAGTTTGGTTAGGAAAGGCTCTGGAAAAGTACATGCACACTGTACATCACGTGAACTCATTAGTAAAGAACAAAGATTTGTTTGTCCCTTTTATCCAGACGAACCTGTTAAGATCCAGTCTAACCTGTCTTAATGCGTCAATCAAGGTGTGTATCTAGCCTTAAAATCGATCAACCCTAGCACTGCAGTCAGTTCAGCTTAGTCGGTGACGAAGTGAACTACAACAGCTTAACTGGACTTTTGAGTACGTTTCGACAAAGAAGCAATCAGTTCTTCTCAACATGGCTCTTTCAAAGCAAGTAAGTGAATTTTCCCGACTCCAAGCAATGAATTTGAAGTCTAATCTACTTTGACAATAAGGACTAACCTTTAGCTGTATTTGTAGCACACTCAGATCATGCCACACCCTAACGACAGTTGTCAAAAGTTACTGAAAAGGCTTACTCTCAGTTGACTCAGTTACTGCATAAAACATAAAGCTGTAGAATTTTCTGATGTTCAGTTACTTGCCTAGTCTGCTACACAGCCGTTTTTAGGGTCGTCACGCAATGCTCCTCCTCCTTTTAAATCTATTTTTGTACTAAACGTAATCAATTGTCTTTCAAGTGGAATTCTGCGAGTCAGTTCTTATTTATTTTTAGAGTTTTCCTGAGTTTAAATACATTTTGTCTCAATAACTGAACACACGATCCAAAATGAAAATTTTCAATACAAGCCTTAGTCACTGCAGAACTAAATGACGCTGTAGACAGTTGCCTATCACTACTGCTGCGATTTCCTTTTGGAAAGCGTCTTTGAGAAAAAAGTCTTGACTGTTACTCAAAAACACTCCCGGAATACTAGAAGCAGGATCTTCTCGTGCGTGAATTTTGTATGGGGTGGCGTTCGGGGGAGAGAGGCTTGCGCACTCACCAGAATTTAATCCCCTCCCCCCCCCTCCCCCCCATTTTTTAAATTTTTTGTATCCGTAAAGAAAGTTTAGTAGATAGAACGATTTCTTTCTTTCTTTTGGAGTAAAACAAGAAATATTGCAGAACAGCAGAAAGGCCCCTTCGTCAGCACACTGACTCGATGAATGAGCCTTCAAAGGTCGGTCTGAAGCGTTTCCAGAGTGGTGAAATTTCAAGCCTTTCGATAAAGTAGTAAACGCTGGGTATAGAGGAATTCAGTTTGTCGTGGGGGCATCCAAAACTTTATAAAAAACCAACTCTCTTGTAAAAGCCCATTCACATTGGTTATGTCGATCATTATTGCGTTACTTTTCTATATATACCGCAGGCCTAGTTAGAGCCTATGCCTTATAGTACAGGCTCTCGCAGTTGTCTTATAGAAGCAATACCTTTTAAAACTTCAAGAATTAAGTCGTCGTTTTGCTTAGTTGAATCTAACGTGAAAACCTCGTGAATCTATCGACAACGATGAAGAAAATCGATCTTTACCCCTTTTTACGGCTCGTATCTAGCCAAAGACTACAACTTTTTTACGAGATTAGTTTACTCAGTACAGCTTTCAAAAAGTCAGCTGTCTTTCAAAACTTCTATCGAGCCAATCGGAATGCCTTAGCGGAGCCTATTCTATCAATGTTTAACCGGAAATATGGGAACGGATTTTTTCATTTTAGTATTTATTTAATTAAACACCCAAAAAAGGTAAAAAGGTAAAGATCGTTTCATTCACTGCTTTTGCACTTGTCATGCGCACTAAGTTTGCAACGGTTAATAAAACCGGGTGCGTGGATTGATATTTGCGCGACAAGCAAATTAATAAATGAATAAATGAAAAAATAATGGTTTTTATCATCATTTTTTTGCAAGACTGGGATCCAAACTGAAATGAAGACCAAGTTTCATATGGACGGGATCGTCAATGGACACTCCTTTGAGGTAGAAGGAAATGGAAGTGGACAGCCTTACGAGTAAGTTCCAGCTAGTTAAATGCAGTACGCTCTTGTTTAAAACAGATCTCAAACAATAAACCCCAAACCTCCCACGCTTTTTTTAAAGGGACTTTTTCCCTAACACCGAATCATTTCAGCCTTAATCGTGCATGCCTAAAAAAACGCTCAAAGTATACTTATTTTAAATAGGCATCAGGGCTCCTGGCAGACCTAGTCTTCTGGTGCAGGAACAGAACCTAATTACGATGATAGTATGGTTTATTACGAGTAGCAAATTCTGACTTCTACTGGTTATAAACAAGTATACAAGGGGGGGGGGGGGCTTTAGCAAACTAAATATAAAATATGCTAATTTCCAATGCGTATAAACTCTTTCTTTAAAAAGGGGTGTGCAGAAAATGAAGCTTACAGTCACTAAGGGTGCGCCTTTGCCATTTTCTATTGACATTTTGCTGCCTCAAGAAATGTATGGAAGCAAGCCATTTATTAAGTATCCTGACAATATCCCAGACTACATCAAGTTGTCATTTCCTGAGGGAATCACATGGGAAAGAACCATGACCTTCGAAGATGGTGCAGTGTGCACTGCCTCTAACGACTCCAGGTAATCGAAACTAAATTTGAATAATTTGAATTATTCAAATAATTGTTAAAACAATTATTGGATGAGTCATCTGAAGCATTATGAAGATCGAGGGCGGTGTCATCCATCAGCCGAGGCGGAAAATTCTTTAGGTGATTCGAAAGCCGAATTCAATGATTATTTTATTATTCATTCAAAATAATTCCCAGTTTAAAAACAAGCTAAAACATGCTTACCTTCATCAATGCTAAGTTCATCTTTAATTGCCTGTTCATCGGCAAGTTTAGGAGATTAAGGGTTATTCAGTACTGCAAATATTCTCCAAATAGCACATGTCGTCTGTCGAGTTGTCTTCTTGCTGTTCTTGCTATGTTTTTAGCCAGTAGTTCGCCTATTTCTTCCCCGTGAAACGAGTCAGTGAAATGTCCTGCCATTTTGTACTCGGTAAGCACTTGTTTCCATATCTCAAACCTCCCTCTCCCTTTTCACTTACACCTACATGAAATGTTCAAGTTTTTTGACTCAGAGACTTAGTTTCTACTCAACAAATGTCGTCAACGTGCAAGTCTCTTCAAATTCAAAAGAAAAAAAGAAATTGCGAATCCCGAGCAGGAATCGATCCCGGAGTGCTAAATCTGTAGTCTCATGCCCTGACCACCAGACCACCGAGAACTCGTTGCAGGAATGTGGAGCAATTTAACTACTGTAGCGAAAACCCTAACCCTAAATAAAAGCTAACCGTTAACCCTAATAACTATTCTAAGAGTTTAACCCTAATCAGTATGGTCAGTGCTTAACCTAAATCAGTATTGTTAGTGCTTAACCCTAATCACTATAGTAAGGGCTCACTCATATATGTATACATATATGCAATTACTTTGTGTACGCATCACAAGGTATCCAAGGGCGGTTTGAGATATGCAAACTACCGTTTACCGTTTTGGTTACCAAAACAAATAAATCTCGTCCCCAGGTCTTCTCGGTTAAATGTTCAGTTTTCTGGCAAGTATGCTGCACAGTTTACGTCATTTTTCACATATCGAAAAATTCTTCCAAATTTGGTGCACAGTAGCTGGTTATGATGAATTATGCCTGGGATTTTAGCCAATCAGAAATGAAGAAATGTTTTGAATGAATAATAACAAAAATTATTGGAACACAACAGTCGACATTACCCATTACCTGATCCACGTTGCTAAGGAGTAGCTAACTAGGGTTAGTTATCAACCCTTGTTCATTATAACTGCAAAAAAAAAATTTTCTAGCCCTGTCAGAGAACAGGTACGGTGTAGATGTCCGATATTTCAACCACTGTGAATGAACCAATTATGTTGACGAAAACACTAGGTCTTCTGTCAGTACATAGTGGTGCAGATATATGAAATATATGTGGTCTGGAAATCGTCCAGTACTTTTCACCTCTCAAGACTTGCGAAATAACTTTTAATAAAATATCTTTTTTTATGAAAAGACTCGTTGGCAACTGTTTCATCTACGAAGTCAAGTTTCAAGGTGTAAACTTTCCCCGAGATGGACCTGTTATGCAGAAGAAGACAAAAGGCTGGGAACCGTCCACTGAGAGATTGTATGAGTGGGATGGGTGTCAGAGAGGAGATGTTGACATGGCCTTGAAGTTGGAGGACGGTGGCCATTATACGGTCAACTTCAAAACTACTTACAAGTAAGTTATTTACCCCTGCGCCTTCACAACTGCAATATAAGCAAAGCGAGACATTTTTAAAATTTACTTTTGTCTTAACCCTTTAAGTCCCAGTGGTGACCAACATCAATTTCCTCCTAATGATATCCATAATTTGTCAAGATTCTCTCAACACATTCTTTATGGAAATGTATAGAGGTTAGTTTGGAGAATTTGTATGTGGATATTGGGACTTAAAGGGTTAAACTGTAAAACAAATAGCCACTACTACGCAATAGTGCTTTTCGCCTTTCATGATAGCTTGTGATTTTGCACAATCGTGCTTCTCATATTCACGTGGTTTTTTCCGACTCAAACACGTAAAAAACTCAGAATCAGCTCGTACAGCATAATAAACAATAAGACCACAAGGGAAAAATAAATGTACAAATGGTTGTTTTAAGTGGTCACTACAGAGCATTTCTTCCACAGACCCAAACGTTAGAACCTCCTTGAACAGTGAAGCAGTTTATAAACAGTACCACAAGAAAGTACTGCTTAGTAGCTTTCAGGTCTTATCATAAGATTTTATTCACAGACTCGAAAGCACGTTCAGTCAGAACGAACCAACTCTGGTACAACATAATAAATAGTACCACAGGAAAGTACGTATACCGGCCAAGAGGATCCAATTGAATGAAGACATGCACTTTTTAGGATTTCGTCCAAGAACTTAGACGCACGTAGCCATGTCGCAACGTTCCTCAGGGCTGTGCATAATGCACCCGCCCGATAACGCCGTTCTAATACTGAGAGGGGGATTTACGGAGCAAGTTTATAACTAAGATTTAAAACAAGAATAAGAAATAGTAGAAGTAACTCCATGCAAGTAGGCTACTCCTGAGCCAAGCTAGTTGAGATTTTGCCAATTTATTATCGCGATAGCTTTTCATATTGCTCGTCCTAACCAGTATCTGAGAGCATGGAACAGGCTAAAATTCTCATTTAGGGCGTTTAATATAACAGTACGAGATCAAAACGACCGTTCTGTAAAAATTGAACAGTTTGGCCAAAACAAGGCTTAAACATCCGATTTCCTGATAATCAACACCAAACTACAATTAAAACAAACGAACAAACATGAAGAGAAAAAAGAGATAACTGATGGAAGAAGAAGCCGGAAAAACATGGGCACCCAACGACAATTTTTGGAAAATATCTGTTCGGAAGACGATTTGAGATCTAGAATTTTCGGAACATTTGTTGTAAAATTTCTTGCTTGCCTGATTCTCCTAGGATTTGAGAACATCTAAAAATGGTATAATTGCCCATTTTTAACGGCTTTTTTCCGTAAAAAAGTCACGTAGAATTTTCGGGAGCCTTTTTTCTGCCTGAAATTTTCGAAAAGGTAGACTTTCAGCGGGGAAATCCGAACAGATGAAAAATTTTGGGGGGATAAAAATATGCCTATATCTTCCGTTTAAATACTAAAATACGTTCAACAATGCTATGTTTAAGTGGTTTTGAACTATATTCTCGTTGGGTGCCCCTGGTAAAAGGAAAAATAATTGTTGTCTAAGTTTTTATAATGATCCATTCCCGAGACAAGACAAAGGGCAATAACCGAAAATGAACGTGGAAAGAGTATTAAGGTAGACGTTTATCAACGAGACAAATTTTGTGGCTTGATTTATTTGCATGGCATTTTGATCGATTGTTAGTCAGCGTCTATTTTCAACCTAACATTAATTGTTTGTTTGTTTTTTGCAGATCAAAGAAGAAGGACTTGAAGGTGCCACCGTATCACTTCGTTGACCACAAACTAGAGCTACTGAGCCACAACATCGTTGGCACCAAAGAAGACTTTGAGCAAAAAGAAACTGCTCATGCACATCTTTCTAGCCTCAACTCCCTTAATCAGTAATCAGGCGAAGTGAAGAAACAAGCAATGGCGAAAAGGCAATAGTGAAAAACCAGTAGCTGATTTCAGCTAAAAGTAGTAGGACAGTAAAAATGTAAACAACAATTAAGCCTTGCTTATTAAATCTTGCATTTGAATATAGGTTTTCTGTGTTCCCTTTTTGTTCGTTTTTAATGTCGACACGTAAGCTTCTGGGCGACGTACGCAAAGAAGGTGGGTCAAGGTGGTATAACTATTCGATGTCTTTCCTGAGTCTTGCCCAGTTTTCTCTCCACTTATGTCCAGGATTGAACTCTGCTAGGAAATTTACAAAAGTAGCGAATTTTCGCGATGACCTTGTGAAAACTACAAAATTTACACAGTCAATTAACGATCTTTCGCGATGACCTCGCGAAAATTACAAAATATAGAAAATCAGCGATATTTCGAGATGTCCTTGCGAAAACTGCCAAATTTACAATATTCATGATTTTTCGTCAGACCCTACGGCAAAATTGTCAAAATTCTTCTCCCTTCGCTATGTTAATAACAACACATCCTCAAAGCGGCGCTGCAGATTTTACAATTTTAACGGAAATTGCAAAATTCGCAAATTTCACATTTTTTCGTCAAAACCTTCCGCGAATTTGTCACCATTTTTCTCCCTTCTTTATGTGAAGAAAAACACATCCTCGAAGCGACGCTGCAGGTATGTTTTATAAACTAAGTAAGCCGTGTATAAAATTTGGATTGCAACAAGAGAAACACGATATGAACACGCCTGGTTCTTCAAGTCAAGTACAATTACGCCTAACAATTTCGGACACCCCAAACGGTGAGTAGCGCGTGGATATGTAGTTCCAAGGACCTTCCTCCTTTAAGCGAAATGCGCCGTTACTCACTTTTGATAGCAACAAAAGAGAACCCTAAAGCACGGGTAATAAATATACACCAATTAAGGTTGCTTCAGTGAAGGATGATGCGCCCCCGACGAGCCTAGAAGCCAAGACAGCAAACGCTACTGACGCTTCTATGCTATGTCAGCAGAACGTGAAGACGATGTATTTCCAAACACTGAAGCCTACGCTTTTTAAGACTATGATTTGAGTTTTGGTTTTGCTCTGTGGTAATATATGCAAATGTGGCAAATTCTCAACAAGTTTGCTTGGCTCGTGCACGTGGGAATTTTGGATGAAGTTAAAAAAAATTTGAAGGCGTTTGTTGAACTACAATAACTAACTTAACATAACGGGTTTATTTATTTTTGAGGCAATTTTTTCAAAACTGAATTAAAAAAGAATAGCGTTGTTTGCTTTATTGGAATAACCAGATAATTATTTCTTCGGATAGTGTCAAGTCTACGTTATGGGAGTATTATTTCTAAAGCATTAAGTACAGCAACTAAAAACAAATTGCGAATTTTCGTCAAATTCGGCTATCTCATTTTCACGCCAATGAGTCTGGAAAGGTAAAAGCGTTACCTATGTATGTGCTTTTTTTTATTTTAAATAAATTAAAAAATATCCGTAAACTTGTGTTATAAGGAATTGTGAGCTCTTAGTAAAGTAACGATCGATTAAAATGACAAACAATGACAAAGATATTCAATGCTAAGAAATAAAACAATGACAAACAATCTTTATCTTATGTTCTTGGCACCCACAACTTCGTTTAGTACAATGTATCTCCCATAGAAGTTCATAGAGCTATGAACGCGAGTCTGCATCTGCATAACTGGTGTCATTTTATCGCGTTTTTCGGGCGAGCGAAGGTAAGCTTGAAGCGACCGAGGAGCGCCAGACCACCAGACACGCGACTGGAGAAGGCGCGAATGTCTTGCCTTCACTCCTTTGGAAAACGCAAAAAATAACGGGCTATGCGGGCTATATGAATGGGAGCGGTCGTCTTTCTTTCCTCGGAGCTACGCGCAGCGAGTGAAAAAGTGAAATCATGCATCAAAAGAAAACGAGTTAACGCACAGTAAAATAATATTTATTTAGACGGTCAAGTATATATTACGTTGGCACGCAGCGGGGTCATTGTGCAGATTGTGTTTTACAGCGAGAGCGTGCAGTTGGTAGTACCGAGATTTGATGGCTAAACTCTTGATTGATCAGAAACTCGATCGTTATTTGTCCCAGTCACTGTTAAAACCACTCCTCAGAAACCGCAGGGGTTGCTGGAAATAACATAGCAAAAAGCTGTTTTGTTCTTTGGAAAAGCTGAGAGTTACATAGTTTTAACTGGCAGTTAAGATTTGTTTTGATTAGGGACGAATGTGCGCTAAGTATACCAAAACTAAGTTGAATTTTGATTCGAATAGTCGAGAAGAATATCAAAATTTCCGAAAAAATGTCAACATGACAATCGACTTTTATCCAAAATGGCGCATTCACTTGCTCTAACTTTACAAGAATGCTTTTAAGCTGATTGATTTGGAGATAAATTTATATGCTATGATTAACACTGGAAAAAGTGACCGTACCTGCGAAATAGAGATGCACCCGAAAATATGGCCATGTTGCAGTATGGAGGAAAACTATAAAATGGCGCAAACCGGCTGATAAAAAGGTAGCTGGCGTTAAGTTTTTGCAGTCCATTGCTTTAATGACTCAAAATAAAGCGATTAAATGCATTCATCTCTTACATAAAATTAAACTCCGGCTTAGAGATTTAGGGAAAGAAAAATAAGTTCCTTAATTTATATCGTTCTTGCTTTTATGGTGACAATTCACTCCGTTTAACACTGGCTCTGATTTAAAAAACAAAATGAATCACATCAGAGCTAGTTTACATCATAGATGTTGAGTCACACAAACAAAGCGGCTGTCAAAAGTTTAGCGGCTTTTTTATAACCTAAAGTAAGAATGGAGAGTTTGCAAAATATACATCAATAATTCACATTGGCGGGGGTAGGGGATTAGACTGTTTTGCTTAAATTATGAAGTACAAAACTTTCTGTGTAAAATGATTCTTTTTCAGTGACTGAAGATTAATAATCATAGAAATCTGGTCCTTAGAAAAACGGAATTATCAGTTGGTAAATACTGATGCCCCATGGGTAATAAACTAACGATTTCAAGAGAAAAAGAACTTTTCTCAGTTTAAATGAAATAAGCCAGAGTCTAAGAAATTTTCGACCAGGAGTAATGAAAACACCCTATTATTCCTCATTCGGTTTGTATAGCTTTTTGCCACTGGCAAGCAATTTTTTTTAAGTTATACATTAAGAGGGTGCCCTCAAGCACTACCACAAAAGAGCATGAAAAGGCCATCTAGACGTCTGACTATTAATTTCTCGGAGGTCATTTAGTTTCAAAGTCGGTAAATTCTTGTCTGTCTCGGTTAATTAATATCTTCAAAAGAATATAAAAACAGCGGCGGGTTGCCAAAGAGAAAATGATTATACAGCAATGGCCATAAGGGATCACAAGGTGCTGATTGCCTAAATTGTTATTCAGGAGTCGTTTAAATTAATGTAACTGATTCTAGTATTAAGCAGACGTCGCTTTTCTGGATTTTGTCGCGAATTTTCCATCAAATCGTCAGTTTTTCAACGAAATCGTCTCTTATATATCAAGACTGAATTGCTTTGCGTGGTGCCTCTACTAGGAGGTTAAAGCAAGGACGACACCTACAACAGAAACTAGAAATAAAATAGCCCGGGTAAAATAGCCTCGAACTTACACTAATTAGATATTAAGAAAAAAAAACCTCTGGAACCCAGAGTAGCTCTAATCACACTTTTTGATAAATTTCTTTGCTGTCATCGCACGAGTTAGCTTTTCTCTTGGCCTGTCCGGCTCGACCTCCGACCTCCATAGCATTGCGATCATTCCTTGGTCGTCGCTTAAAGACGGAATCCACCAGGAAACTGAGTAATTATAATTTTCAGTGGACAAAAACCTTGTAACAGAATAATTTAAAGAATATTGCAATCTTTTTTTTTTACATTTTTAAGGGCTGTAGATGTACTTATAGTTATTTGTAATAACACCAAAGAAAATTTCTTATGGGAGCCCGAGAAAATAAATGTCAAATTTCACAAGAATCGTGAAAACGCAGGTAAAATTCTGACAATTTCATGTGTAAGATGTCATTTTGTGAAATTTGACATTTGCGGCCTGTGTTTCTGCTTCTGGGTCTTTGGTTGTTTTGTAAGGCTGTTTTACATAGGCTGCTGAACACAGGCTTATTAAAGACTATGCAATTTTGTAACTAGTTACTACCACTTTGAGCTACTTTGCTGCCGAAGTACGCAAGATCTGCTAGTCAATTTTTTCTGTTTGATCTCCGTCTGCTTATTTGTCCACCTGTTTTAACAGATGTGGAACAAGGATTAGACCCCTTGTTTTTATTGTAATAAACACTTGTAAACTATAACCTTTACCGGCGCTTATCTGGTTTGCTTAAGCAGTATAATTATATTCTTTTTAAGTTGCCGCTGTTCCTTATAACCTAAACTTACCGTCAAATTATCAGGTTAGATAAAATCAAAATGTTGACCTTATGTCTTCAAGGGGCGTTTTTTCGAGGGCGAGCTGTCGGAGCTGTGAACAGTTACACTGTTAAGTAGGAAAATTATGTTGCTAACAATTATTAATTCTAGCATTCAAAGAACACAAGTAAATGACAAAAAAAAAATGTTTGTACTTGAAACAAATCATTTTTGTAGTCTTTTACCACGGTGTAAATTTACAAAGCGAGTACGTGCTCTATATGCATGGCCAATAATGAGAAAACTGAAGCCAACTTTTAATTTCTCCAAGGTGATTTAATTTGACTGTGCAAAGACCAAAACAAGTTGAAAACAGTGAAAGGCGGTTAATAAAAAGAGGATAGCTCTAATAAAGCCAAACAAGCTTTTAGAGGTAACCGCTTCTTTAAATAGCTAATGCCGTACAGAGGCTTATCAAAGACTGCACATCTATATTACCATTTTGCTGCTGAAGGACCTGAAGTACGGAAGACGTTAATGTTTTTTTTTTTCTGTCTGATCTTGTGGCCGTCTGTCTATCCCACCT